CACACACACACACACACACACACACACACACACACACACACACACACACCACAGACAACAACAAGCCAGCCAGTAAGAAGCTCTGGGTGATGCGACCCAGAGGTCGAAAACAGGCCTGATGTCGAGCCCGACCACTAAGCAAAACCAAATGTCATGATTACGTTCATGTTTCCTTCAGAGGATACAGTTTTCACTAATAAAGCGATCCACGTGTAATATAAGACACATTCAAGTACTTCCATTTAATTTGAGCAACCGATATTTAATTCAAAGAACAATGAGAGCCGCAGTTAAACTGAGCTCAAGGGGTGGTGCCTCTTGTTTGAGGTGTGTGTGTGTGTGTGTGTGTATATATGTGAATGTGCGCGCATGTGTGCGGGGCCCAGAGGTGCTGGGTGTCAGTGTCTGGAAAGTCCAGTCCTTGGTGCGTTCAAGTCCGGCCTACATTTGGTTGAGGAAGTGAGCGCGACCGTTGTCCTCCATGCGGCGGGTGAGGATCTCACAGCCGGTCTCCGTCACCAGCAGGGTGTGTTCGAACTGAGCCGAGCGCTTCCCGTCTCTGGTCACCGCCGTCCAGCCGTCGGGCCACGTCTCGTCCTGCCAGCCACCTGAGATTGAGACACACGGCTTTGGCTTACAGAGCATCAATTAAACAGAGCTGTAGGGACGAGCACCACTGGACACCCATTACGAGTGTTTTTTAAGACTTTAATGACCTGTTTGTGTTACACATCAATTAACCCCTTGTGAGCCAGGCAACAAATCAAGGTTTATGCACAACAGTGACCAATTATTCAAAACCACACCATATTTTATAGGTTGAGAACACAACCTACTTTTAAGGCAAATAAACCATTTAAATTAGCTGGTGAATGCAATGGGATGAAGCTGAAAACATTTTTACTTGCTTATCAGATATGTGGTTTTCATAGACAGCAATTATTTACACTGATACAGTATTTACAATCCAGCCTTGCTTTACTCGCTTTTGATTTGTTTTATATAATTGCTACAACTTCTGTTTGATTGAGGCAATTATGTCTTATTTAATTAATTGAAATTACTATCGTCCCTTTAATTATCACTGTTGTTCATACAAAAGTGCAGTTGCACTCACCTTCACATATCATGGGCTCAATGGTGAACACGTGGCCAGGCTTCATTACTCCAACTGCTTTGTTTTCTGGTGAATGGACATAGAAATCATGCTGTTGTAGGAGAGCATGTCGGCAATTCGATGGAAACTTTCAAGAGATTTCAGACATGTGACTACTCACTGGCATAATGTGGCACATTGGGAGCGGTGTGGAAAAGTCTATGGATGCCGTGGCCGCAGTAGCTCCGCACCACGGAGAAGCCATTGGCCTGAGCATGCTTCTGAATGATGTTACCTAATTCTCTGTAGCGGATGCCAGGCTTCACTGTAACAACAGGAAGCATGAGGGTTATATGCAGTGGATATAGTGACTGTAGTTTATAGCCTGATGGACACTGGAATTCTGGGGCAGATATTAGAGTAAAATAAAATTCTGATCATGACTTATTGGAGAAATTTCTAATACAAAATGTATACATTTTAGAAAAGGACCCATTACAGAATTAATACTACAACTTCGGCCACGTTAGCTTCAAAGGTGAGATAGAAAGTTAATTGCTGACCTTGGAAACAGGTCAGAAATAGAAAAATAAAAATGAAATCTCAACTGGCTCTGAAACGTCAATGCTCTCTGGTGGACAAACTATGTAATGCCGACACAGTTCCTTAACTCAAATGAATCTTCAGCATTTCTGTACTGTAACTCTTAATGCTGATACAGATTATACCCCAACTAGCCCATCCATACAATAAGGTGGTATATGATGCTGATCATCCATACAATAAGGTGGTATATGATGCTGATCATCCATACAATAAGGTGGTATATGATGCTGATCATCCATACAATAAGGTATATGATGCTGATCATCCATACAATAAGGTATATGATGCTGATCATCCATACAATAAGGTATATGATGCTGATCATCCATACAATAAGGTAGGCGAGCACAAAACTCTAGACAAAGAGCGGTGAAGGTGGGGTTATAACGAACATCATCGGCCAAAATGAAAGAAATTAGATTCCTACCAGAGTCGATGGACTGCATAAGGCATTCGTATGTGGTCTGAACCAGCTTCTTTGCCTCTTCATCCACCTCGCCAATGTAGAAGGTTTCATTGAGGTCCCCATGGAAACCATTGTGGTAGACTGTGATGTCCACTGTGCAAGAGGGAGATGGTGAATGCGTCAGAGCCATTGTGTTGCATGACACTAGATGCTATTGTGTCTAAAGAAAGGCACCGTTATGAAGAACCTGAACGTTTTGGGCAAAACGTCAACCCGTTGGCGAGGCCAAACTAAATGTGTCTAAATTGGAATTGCTAGTGGGCAAACTGGGACTTCTCCCACTGACGGAGAAATATGGAGAGCAGCAGATCTGACGGGCAAATCCCCACTGCTAAAGGTTAATGAAACAATTTGTCTTGTCGGGACCACGCAGCGAGAGATGAGTTGTTGGCGAGTGCTCCATCAGACACTCTGAGGGGAGTGGTGGATGGAAGACATCGCTTTAGCAGAAATATTCATAAAAGAGACTAAAATTGGCCGAACTCCCACTGACACCATTTCAGGAGGCTGGTACAACCATTTGTCATGGAGGAGGATTATTTTTTTCCACTTCACTCTCTTAAATAAAACATTGCTCTGCATCCAAACTTAGCTCAACTTTCAAGAGCCTTTTTTGTAATAGAGAAAACTGGGGTGTTTAAAAACGAAAAGGAAGAATCTATTTTAGGTGCATTTGTTGGGGATGAAACAGTCAAAAAAGTCTAGAATTTGGTTAATTCCAACAAATAAAGAGATGCAACAATAAAGCTAGGGTCCCTAAATCAAGTAATGTGTGGCGCAGTGAGCATACCGTTGAGAATATCTCCTTCTTGTAATAGTCTTCTGTCTGGGATGCCGTGGCAGATGACTTCATTGACAGACGTGCAGCAGGATTTGGGGAAGTTGTAGTAGTTGAGAGGGGAAGGGTAGCACTTCCTGGCTGTGCAGGCCTGAATAGACAAAGCAAAGGAAGGATTAAATGTACTGAAGATGAGGGAGGCCTTCCCCGTCATGTAGGTGCCTTAAAGCTTAACGCAGTCACAATCATATTGTGTTTGAGTGCGGCGCATACCAAGTGTACAGCGTGGTCGATTTCTTCCGTCGTAACGCCCACTTTCACCATCTCGGCTGCGATGTCCAGGACTTCTCGTGCCAGCTGCGAATGACACACGTACGTTAAATGGGTGGAAAACTAAAATTGTAAACTGTGGCGACATCGTGACATTCAGCGACAGCCTGCGTCATTACCTTGCACACTACCCGCATGCCTTCGATGTCCTCGGGACAAAGGATCTTGATCTGTGACGTCCCCTTCAGGAACTGCTCGGACTCGGAGATCCCTGTGTGAAGGAAACGGGGACAGACACCCGGCGTCAGTTACGCTTCGATTTTTAGCCGACTCAACCGGGACCTTGTGAAGCGGTTGTCGGAAGTACATCAACTTTTAGCCGCCGCGTCGACTTGGACCAGATTTACAAACTCCTGATTTTGCTTTTACATCATAAGTGACAGTTGACGACAAGTCATTTGGTCGTGAGAAGGGATAAGCATCGTCACCCCTCTGTCATTTTGCAGTTACACTGCATCTTTCAAAAAAAACACACATACACGTCTGTAGTCAAAACCTGCTCTTTCCACTCTCAACATGAGCCATGTCTAGAGTCAAAGACTGGGGTTAAAATGATCTACTACGGGTTTGGTTTTATCAACATCGTAAAAAAAAATATATATATATATATATATATATATATAACATAAAGGTGATAATTGGCTATTAGAAATAGCATTTTATAGACAAAACCATTGGTCAATTAATCAAGAAAATAAGCAGAATAATTGATAATGAAAATAATCCAGAGTCGCAGAGTCCAGAGTTTGTTTAAAAAAAAAGGACCATGTACAGTTTAAAACAGAACTTTCACCATCTGATGCACTGTAACAGATTATAGCTTGAAGCTAATTTGCATCCGTCGTCCCTTGGCAGTGAAAAGTGAAGGATTGCCTTTTATTTGTCTGATTTCTGTGGAACTCGTCGCTTCAAGACTGCTCGAGGCGTTCGATGTCGACACCGTCTTTTAAATCCCTCATCAAAAGTCAAAGCCCTTTTCCAATGGTTTACTAATCAAACGCTCTTTTTGTTATGACATTCTCTCAGCTTCAATACCACATTTCTAAACCAAAATTAAAATCTCTGCTATGGTACTATGGACAACTAACTAGCTGCTCCTACACAGATACTACAGCAGCACCTGAGCAGAGGCTATAATGACACTCGCACTGCCGACTCAAAGGGCCGGAGCAGGACTGATACTGTTGGTGTCAGTGCAGTCATCTTAGCGACGCGTTGAACTGTTTAATAGAGATTACACAAGATCAGAATTCTTGGGCGGAAAAGCACATTGAGGACATGTATTTAACTAGATATTGTTCAAAGCGCTTGAGTCATCAACAATTCGCCGATCTATAATTCATCGACTCAACGAGACGATCGCTGGATGAACACGAACAGTTGCCTAGCAACGCAGACTTTTCGACAGGTGTGTGTCGGAGTGAAACACGGCCCTCCTCCTGACCTGCGGAGCAGACAGTGCGAGCGCAACAATCAATTAGACTTACTTACGCTTTGACACAGCTGCTCAGGAAAGAAGAAAAGGGATGAGAGAATCACAGAGTGTGCACATTGTCATGTCCTCACAACCCTACAGGTTCATTTGAGGTAAAAACCCCAAAATTGTATGCGTTATTTAAATTTAAAAAACACAAAAATTCCAGATTTGAGTTCAGCTCAGTAACAGCGCCACTCTGAAAAGCATTAGGCTGTAATGACTGCGTCGGTCCCCGAGAAGAAGGCATCACGGGAGGGATGAAAGGAGACAGTAACCATGACTACCTGCGCACCGATCTATGCAGTCAGACGACAGGGATGTAGCGGTTGCCATGGTTGCACACTGAACGTCTTTCCCAGAGAAACAGACCAGGTAAATAAGCCAGGTTACAATTATAGGAGTCTGATAATTAACAGCTGCTCGTCAAAAACGGTGTGACGGCAGAGCGGTTTAGGTTTCCCCGAAATAACTCTCAACCCGCCGGTGTTCAGCGTGTGAGGACGAGGCGTTATTGGGCTGTTTAACAGACCGACATCGACTACAGCTAAAATACTAAAAGAGGAACTGCATGAAAACACAATGTACGTACATAGAACTCCTCACAAATCAATTCTAAAAAAATAAAAACATCACGCAAAATATTTCATAGTAATACTGAATCCGACTAAATCCAGTGAAATGATACTAGTACTACGAATCCTACCGAAAATACACATCTTACTCTGCCGCTGTGTTAAGCTGTCAAACCACACAATAAGGGTGCAAATGTGTGACCATCCTGTTAGCACAGAGCAACACGTATCAGCTTATCTGTGTATTCATGCAAAAAAAAAAAAAAAAAAAAAAAAAAAAAAGATAGAAGACGCACGCATGGATGAACGCTTTGTCTACTAACGAAATAAACTGAGACAGCTTGCAGCTCAGTATGTGCCCGCAATTCTTTCTCCCGATAACGGAACTTGTGTATCGGCCAATACAGTGTACCAATCCAATACCAGTGTGTTTCTTATGTATTTAAACAAAAAAACTAAAATTGCAGTTTTAAAAAATACCAACATTTTCCCAAGTGGAGGATGAGCCAATGTGATCAACTGAAAACACATTTCCTTGAGAAAGAAGCACAGGTACCTCTGGGGTGATCCGCATAGTCAGGTCTCTGGATGTCACCGGGCACATGCCTCATGGGAGTCTACAGCCGGAGCCGAGGGGAGGACAGAAACATTATGTAATCCACAGACATCAGCACATGGATATGGAAATAATTGATGCAAGCCACAAGTTATAATAATCCCCCGTTACTCCGTCTGTCCTCCATTCTTTATAGGAGGCAAGTTGGTGTTGCAATTTGTTTTCCGACACATTGAAAACAAATAAGCACCGACAGGTATCAGCATATGGCTCCGTTTTGGATGTTTCCATCGTTTTAACGGTGTGGTGTGTAGCAGGGACTGTTCATCAGCTCTACTTAAGGGAGTTGATGTAAGCTGTCTGAGGACATTATTTCCTTTCAGCTAACAATTGTGTCGCAAAGGAATAGGTGACATTTAAAACATCGTGGTGAAACAGTTTTATAAAGGTCATGATCTCTTTCCCAGTTTGCCACCGGTAGCAGTTAATGACCGGGAAAACTGAGACAAAAAAAAAAAAAATCTGTTTGGCGCCACTGTGTGCATCCAACTGGAAACCAAAAAGGGTGTCATCGCTTATGCATGTCTGCACTCAGGCCTTCTTTCCAAGTTTCATTGACTAAAATGAACAGCGAGAACCTACCAGTGGGTAGTGAGGGTGTAGCTTCCCCGTGTAGCGGTAGCCGGGCCATGGGTCCGTGTTGATGTCATTCTCCACACAGTTCTGGGATTCATTCTGGTTCTTGTCCTCCTCTGACAAAACACACAGCACAGAACATTCTGAAGCATCTGGCACTGCCGTGTTAGTTCACAGTCAAGAGGTGTCATGCATCGAAACAACATGCAACTCATTCGTATATTGAGAACGAGTCCGCCACCGACAATGACCGGTAATACATACTTGCTTTTTTGTGCAGCAACTTGTGCGACACCCAGCTCCCTTTGAAACATTCCTGGAAAAGAAAACACAGACAAAAAACCCTCAATGAGGATGTGCAATGACAAGGTACAGATTGAGCTCAATGGTTCACTTAACTAATGTTCAACCCTAACAAAGAACTGTTACGTGCACACTGTGAAAGCACCCAAAAAAAAGGTTGAGATTTTCACAAATGAACCAATAACTCCACCGCGTACTGCTCCTTCCAATGGTCTTATGTAGTCGGACAGTTAAAAGAGCGGAGAAAGAGAGACGGGGAAATATATAAAGCAGGGGTCAGGTTGCGCAGCCAAAAATGCAACCGCAGCAAAGATGTCTAAGGGTCAAATACCATGGCACCCTCAAGACTGTTTAAAGGGCCACCCAACCCAACTATTTATAAAGCGTTTGAGTCAGAGAGCATTGCCGAGCCTCTTGTGTCGAGAGAGCAGTTGCTGTGGTTTACTGTTTAACGCTTTGTTGGCAGAGACACTTTTCCAGTGCAGTGTATGCAAGAAGAAGAAAAATTGCCCCAAAAGCAGCAACTGTCACACAACACTCTTCGTGTTTAAGTGAAAGACAGCTGTAGTTACAATGGGTCTGTCAGTGCTGCTCAGCTGTGCATCTGTATAAAGAAGTGGAGAGCAACTTCTCTTAATCCAAGTGTGAGGTATTGTCGTTTGGAGATCCATCTTTAAACCGACAGATTTGTGAGTGGGGTTTGGTCTCACAGGAGAGAGAACAGAGGGTCAAACATCGTGACAACAAATGCTCTGTCACGCAGCGTTGCCTCTGTGGCACTTTCACGTCCACAACCCCATCATTCATTTCCGTCTATGGCGTTATTAAAATGCCTTGTACCAACAAAATATACATTATGTCATACTGTTGTACGCTGTCAGCAAACGAGCTCCACACAATAGGCTCTTTTTTTTTCTCCATTTGGAGCAGGGGCGATACCGGGACTCACTTTAGCTAATCAGCCATCAGTTAGCTAGCTTAAACGTTTCTCCCCTCGGCCTACAGTCGCGGGTATAGGATGAGTTTCAATGACTGAATGCATCATTCATCCTCTGCAATGTGTGTAATCCACACCCAGAAAAGCATTCGTTAACGTTATCAAAATGCGTTATTAGCGGTTTACAAAGCACCTCACAGTTACACATGTCTACCTAGCTTGACAGTTAGCAGCCGCGTGATACAGAAGGCCTAGGTGTGTGTGGCTACAGCGGACGTTCAGGCTGGACAAGCCGAAAATGCAGCAGTACCTGGGAACAGAAATAGGAGCCTTGGATACCGAGCTTGATACATGTGGGACACTGAAGTTTGGCGTCCTTGCTGCAGCCTTCTGTCTCACACTCCCTTCTAGCCTCGGTGCTCGCCATGCCTTCGACTGCCGGAGGGGTGGAGTCGCGTAGAAGCAGCCACAGCCAGCGACGGCACACTGCGCATGTGCGCGGCGGGGCCGTCACGTTGCATGGCTCGGCCCAATCAACAGGAACTTTTCCAACAGAGGTTTTTTAAGATGGCGACCGCCGAACCGGTGAGTACTCTTACGACTGAACATATCTAAACGTTTAGGGGGGCTTCTCGCTGTAATTACAGGCCGAGTTCACATTTAAAGTTTGTGTTTAACTTTAAACACGTGCCTTCAAAATGAAATTGAGAGTTGTTACGATCACATTAGCTTGTTTTGACTAGTTTCAAGTGTGTCAATCTTCTGTGCCACGACCGAAGCGTAAAAGAGGAACGCTCGCGTGGAGATCTCCCAACTTGAAAGCTGACGTTTCAGCTAACCGACGTGCCGTTCACCTTTGCGCGAGAGAGCCATTGCAAAACGAGTCACTGAACTATTACTTTGGTTAACCGCAATAGTACACACCTGAGTAATTATTATCCAAGACAGGTACGACTATTGTGAACTAATAGTAAATTCGTCATATGATACAAGCCATCAAATAGAAACACCACGTTGTTTTTGTAGCTACACATTTCAGCTGTCAAAATTGGTTATCGTTGCTCACTGCTGACCTCTACGATGCAATGTTTGCTGACTAGTTAGTTAAGTTAACTAACGGTAGATGATGGTAAGAAAGCTAAAGTGGCAGTTTCAAAAGTATTTTTTCCCCAAAATAACACCATGTAATTGATGAAATGCACGCCGAATTCAATAACGGGTCCAGCTGGTAGGTGTCATGTCACCGCGGATACTTTGTGCTAAGCTAGTAGCTAGCTAGTTAACTTTAGCGTTACTTTTTTTTTTAAGTGGCAGATCGGTTATATGAGTGGAAATGGCGTGGCGTTCTTCACGTGTCATAAACAAACATTTGGGGAGTTGATACAGCGGTGCATAACACACGAAGTGACCGTAACGTTACTGGGGTAAAAGTTGGCAATAGAGTTAAAGTTAGTTAGCCAAACTGTGGCGTCACATCACGGTGGAATGTGTTCCAGATGTTCATATCGGGTTTCACTGGTGAACGCTTACGTCACGGATTTTTTTACTATAATTCGACTTTATTTTGGAGATGATCTCGATTGAGATTAGAAACATTGTTTTGGCAGATGGACTCTTTCTAAATATTGACTTGTATTTAAATGTACCACCATAAGCTTCCATCGCTAAACAAGGGTTCACTTTTGTAATCAACAGCTGGAAAGTTGTTACATCAGAGATCAGATGTCATACTACTGTTACAGAATAATGTTTATTAATGATAGTTATTGTTATTAATAATAATATTTATAACAATGATAGCAAACCACTGCCCACGTCCCTTATATGTATCTCACCTATACCTCACTGCCTTTTAGGAAACCAGCTCAAGTCCAACCCTGCCTGATGAAGATGGAGCTGAGGAGACTGGACTAGAGATTGTGAACCCAGAGTCCTACATCAAACACCCCCTCCAGAACAGGTTAGGGGCTGCAATTTAAGATGTATTAGAGAGGGTTAAATTGATGGAAGCGTTGGAACACACGTGTTTTAATTCTTCAAAATGATGTCGTGGGTATAGCGTCTAATGATCTTCTCTATAAAGCAGTACTACATATTCACTCTGACTGCAAAGAATCAAGTTTTAGGTCTGCAGAACATACCATATTGTACACTTCTATTGCAAGCAGTAAGAAACAAACAAAATGTTTAGAATTTTCGTTTTGTAATATTAGGAACCATTTCAGTGCCTGAATAGTCTGTAGGCAAGTTTTTTTGATCATTTTCTCTATTTCCATTTACCGTTTCATACCCGTTGATGGATGTCTGTTTTTATGCCAACTTTATTGAACTTCCACGATTTGTCAGTTAATCAATGACAGGAATGACTAAAAATCAATCGGCATCAACACTGAATATTGAATACTTTTCTCAGCTTTGTATAATTGAAAATGTTTAAAAAAAACATTTTCGTTTTGTGTGAGATTATCACCATGGTCTTTCAGAACTATTTTTGGACCTTAAGGATCAAACAATAATGTGACTTGTCTGTCACCGATCTTTACAATGAAGTGGCAGCTTCACGTTTAAACAGTGCACAAACTCTGGGAGCAGCGCAGAACAATCAGTACTAATGTATCTGAATGTTCAACATCTCTATTTTGCCTCAAAAGTTGAAGTCGAGAGAAATCGACTTCAACATTTTAAAATGAATAAAATGTTCATTTTATTTCCTTCTTGGCACACTTTGTGTCAATCGACACCTTCTCATTTCAACAGGCACACCGCTGCCATCACTACAGCATAATTACAGCTAAAAGTATTAACTTTTACTACCAATGAATCTGTCAATCATTTATTTAATGAATCAATTATTCTTTAATTGAGCATAGCTCGGGTACGGAGCGACCCTTCCTCCACACAACTCCTGTGGAGGCTCATACAGACGTGAGAGCGAGACATGAATTGACCACTCGGCAAAAAATAATGGCCGCTGTGTTCACCGGGAGGAAGCCGAGCAATTCACGAAAATGGTCTGCGGCGCAGCGCACCGTCAAAAAATTAAGCTCTTCTTTAAATTCCAAACCGGGCCACTTTCCAGATGGATTGAGCAGTTGATTAAGAGGAATCCATATTCAACTTGACTCTACAAAAAATGTTAGTTATGTGAAATACATTTTAATTGACTGATCATGTTTTGATTATTTCTTAGTTTCTGGGCTTGTTCTAGCAAGTTATTTTATGATATATAAGAACATGTTATATAAGATTGATGGTTGATTATTATATGCCTGTGGTCCTGTCTCTGTGTTAAAATAGGTTTTCTCTCACATTCCACACAAAGGCAGTCTGCTGGATGGTAGGCTTTATTTCCTCACCGCGAGGCTTTTTATTGTCTGTGATGGTCTGGTGACCCGTCCAGACTGTTTCCGTGCTTTTCCTCTCAGTCCTACATTCCAACTCCCTTCTGTGCTGAATACAAACGAGCATCAATTGAATATTTTATACATATTTGAATTCCAAAAGGGATGTTTATGTCCAAAAGGGTCAACTAGAAAAACCAACCTCGACAGAAAGCCAGTCAGCTGGAGGAAAAGTTTGGCCATAAAAACTTCACCAGTGTTTCTCAGCTCAGCTGTGAGACTTGAAATGCATCGGTGGCGTTCTAATGGCAAAATATTCCCACAAATAAACCATTTAAATAACATATTAGTTTGGATAAGTTCTGCCAGTGCACGTCAAAGAACATTAGCCTATTAGCATTCATCAATTGTATTGATTTCTTTATAGGGTCATAGGTTCATGAAGCTATCCCAGCATGCATTAGAGGGAAAATAAACATCCTGTATATTCATTACGTGCCTCAGGTTATGGCCTATCATCAAACATTCCAATATTTCACCAAACAGGTTGACAAGGAATCCACAAATGTGCCATAACCTCAAGCCTGCCGATGGTGAACTGTCATATTAGATCTTCTGTTGTGCATATACGATGCATTCAATTAGTATCCGTTGACTTATTCGATTTATTAAAATAGTTTAGAATCTGTTTGTGGTGGAGCGGCATGTCCGCCCCCTGGGCCCAGTTAATCAGTCTTTAATTACAAAGCAGCTTGCAGTGTGTTTTCCATGGATGTGATGCTTTGCGTCTCCTTTCTCTATACGCCGGCTCAACAGAACTCTGCTCTACATAAGAGAAGTTAACGTTGTGCTCAGGGCTGTATCCAATGCCTTTTTGTTTTTCTTTCAAAGCTTTGATTGAGGCATTTGAATGACGTTTTCCAGTGTCTTTCGTCATATTTTACGATGTCATCACCCATGAAAAATTGGGAAAATATGATTGTGTGTTATTGTGGTTGTATAAATGTAATGCATGGTGCTGTTAGATTGCTGCTTGACCACCCTGTTAATGCAGACGCGGGCTTGGATAAGCTGAACAACAACATATCTGGATTGAAGCAGAATATTTTCTTTAGATTAAAACATGTTGTGAATTATGGAGATGATAATATCAATGTTTTGGGTTGAGAACAGACAATTACAAACAATAACAAATATGATTTGGATCGTGAGGTTAAAGATTCAATGGTAATGTTGACCGCAACACGATGCCGCGATATTGTCGCAGTTGCTGAGCTGTAAGAGGATTCAGCATCAAACAGGTGTGACGCCACATTCACAATGAATTGGACCAAAGATAGCGATGACATACCGAGCGGTTTGTGTTAAAGTCGCTCAATGGCTTTCGGTTTCTTTCGGTCGTCTCGTGTTTAATTAGGGGCTTGTTACATTTATGCACATTCCTCTTCTGTTTTTGTCCCAACAGATGGTCCCTGTGGTTCTTCAAGAACGACAAGAGCAAAACATGGCAGGCCAACCTGCGACTCATCTCTAAATTTGACACGGTGGAAGATTTCTGGGCGTAAGGAGCAGTAAATCCCTCCCAAGTCTTTTTATTTTTCCCATACCTCTATGCAGTGTCTGAAGCAGTAAAATGTCCTGATAGTCTTGTTGAAATACTGTTCGAGCAGCATGTTTTGTTTTTTTTAATTTATTAATGGCGTGCTCTCTGCATTTCAGACTCTACAACCATATCCAATTGTCAAGCAACCTCATGTCAGGCTGTGATTACTCCCTTTTCAAGGTACGTTTGATTTATTTACCATTTAAGTGAAAGCACAGGGTGAGTAGTTCAAGTACAGATTAAAATATAGTTTATATCAGTCTCTAAAATAATGTTTGCATGACAATATCCTCTCTGGTGGACAACAGTGTTTTCTCTGTCTCATGTTGACTCAATGAAACTAAAAGAACCGTATTAATTAAAGGCTATAAAACAACTTTCTTTCAAAGGGGAAGTCCACGTTTACATCATGAGACAATATGTTTTTGCAAACTAAGCAAAAGGCCCGGGCCCACACATGTGGCAGCTGATGTCATTCAGACTTGAAGTACAAGGAGGAAATATCATCTTGTGCCGGGTATTCATAACAAATAAAAAAAAAACACAAGATTGTAACGACCGAGTCAAATAAAGCTCAACACAACAGCATCATTACTGCAGCGTAGACCGGAGACACAGTGAGCTCATTTAACCAGATGTGATGATCGACAATGAGAAGTGTTCTAAAGTTCAGGAGGCGGTTAGCAGCCGCTAATGACACCGCGTGAGATACAGGTGATGACTACAGTCGCAACAGGTTGGAACATTTCCAAGGGAAGCTGAGCTTGGGGAATTTTGGATCTTTTTGTTTTCCATTACTGGAGTGAAAACGTAGCCTAAAGCAAAGCACACCGGTTATAACTTGATGAAACACACCAGTAGTTTGTGCTAGCTAGCTGTTACCATGTAAGGTGTAGCTTGTTTGAGCACGCTAATTGGGTCTGTTACCATTTATTCTTTATTGGAAAATGTTTATTTTTTCAAATGAGTTGTTCACTTTAAACCCTAGGTTTGCACACAGCACACATTGTACCTTTCCTCACTCACTCAAATGGCACATTTCACATTGTTTATATTTGGCAAATGAATGGATTATGTCTTTCTGCATATGCTGTGGTGAATACAGCCTGTGCAAATAATCCTTATGTTCAAATTTATTCCCATTAATTCCCAGAAAATCCTGTGAATTCCCATGGAAAGTTTCCACCTTGAATAATCCCAGTATTTAGCAACCCTAGTGATGACAATAAATGGAAAAGCAATAATCAAGTATGACTGCATTTTATAACTAGTGAACTTCTAGGCCACTGCAGAGCCGTTACCTTATCGACATCAATACAATTTAACTTTTACTTCTTCTCAAAATAGTTTGCTGCGTGAGTCAGAAAGTCGCTCAGAAGGCGGGCAGCAATGCAACGTTCTACCCTTGCTAACCCCTTTTAGCATTCCAGCTGCAAACCTTCAGCACGATTTCTGTGTCGGAAGTTTTTGGTTCAGTGGCTCGGAACGTGTACTGACAATCTGTGCCGTCGCTGTAGGATGGTATCGAACCGATGTGGGAGGACGAGAGGAACAAGCGCGGCGGACGCTGGCTGATAACGCTCAACAAGCAGCAGAGGAGACAAGACCTGGACCGCTTCTGGCTGGAAACTGTAGGTTTGGCTCTGTATCCCGTCCAGTGTCGTCATTACTCATACCTGCAGCGAGTCAGAGATGAGATAGTTTGAATGTCATCCTTCTATGATTATCTAAAAACTATATACGTATAAAAATATGCTGGTGCCTTGTCTGTATGCTGAGCAGATGATACGGGTTCACCACACAGTCAAATGAGAGCAAGTGAAATGTGGCTTGCCTGCTGCTCAGTCTGCACTCCGCACAGTGTTGTGGTGAGCTCTGTAAAGGTCACTGACAGTGATACAGACGTCCAGCGAGCAATACTCGGCTCTTACTTCACTGTCAGTGCTGCCGACAACTGCTGGTCCTTCTGGGCTCATAGGACTCACTTCCTTTTCCTCACTAATTGTTTTGCCGTACGTTAAGCTCGAAACATAAACGTTTTAATGACTGCGGACAGTTTGAAATGAACAGTTTTGAACAGAAATTGAAATATATTGATCAGTGCTCCTTGTTACTAGTTGCAGTGTTTCTGTAAAATGCCACTATGTTTCCTATTACGGCATGTGGAATATACGGTTAATGTTCCCGGTTTTAGGAGCATTCTTTGGCAGTTTGGCCATTTAAACATTATAAAGGACTTTGACATCCACAGGTTTTTGGATATTTGTGGACGATTTGTAGTTCTAGTAGAATCCCCATGTAATGACGGCAGCTTTTCCTTCCCCTCCGTCCCTTCACCAGCTCCTGTGCTTAGTCGGAGAGGCCTTCGGCGACTACAGCGATCAGGTCTGCGGCGCGGTGGTCAACATCCGCGCGAAAGGAGATAAAATAGCCGTGTGGACATCCGACTACGACAACCGGGACGCTATAACACACATAGGGTGAGGCGTGTCAAAGCAGTACACGTTCATAAACACAGGTGATCCTCTGCAACCCTCTCACGGTGTCCTTTCCCTCGTCCACAGGAGCGTTTACAAGGAGCGCCTGGGGCTTCCACAGAAGATGACTATTGGCTACCAGTCTCACTCAGACACGGCTACCAAAAGCGGTTCAACCACCAAGAACAAATTTGTGGTTTGAGAAATGCCCGACGTGCCTTCTGTTTTCATTTCCTTGTCTTATTTGTTATTGGTTCAAATGTTTACTTTGCTGCAAAGACTCTGCGGAATGCAATCTGGAAGAGGAAGAAAAACAACTGTCAAAAGTTTCCATAACCTGCCCAGGATTTGAACCACTTGAAAAAAACTAACATGGACAAACGGATGAACAGGAATCTTCCAAAACACTAACAATGAGAGGTTTAAATAATGATGGGTGATTTAGTGTGCTGCATACTTTACTACTTTACTAAAAAAAAAATTTAAAAAAGAATTACATATATATTATATAAATATAAATAAATATTCTCTCCCATTTACTACAGCACCGTTGGTTTGCGGTAACCCTAAATGACATGAAACTCTTTTAATTTATTTTTTGATTTACCTGCATACGATTAGTTAGACCTTTTTGTTTTTTGCTTCTTTTTTTTTGCCAGGAACTGTTTCACGTAATCGCCCTTTGAAAAGTACTTCATGACTCATATTCATTTGAGTGTTAATATAATTAAAACATTGGTTTTGCAATTATTAGTTGTTAACTGCGTAATACTTTGTTTGGTACATTCTTTGTTCTAAAGGGTTTACTTTTGACTTGCAGTGTTGCTGTATTGACTTTTAGTTAACAACAGACCATCCAATAGATTTCTACCGATGCTCTACATTCCCACTGAGCGTAGAGAATAGTACTAAAGGAGACACAATCGATCTCAGGGAAACAGGAAAGTCCCTTCTTCGGCTTCCGAGTAGCTTAAGATTCACCGTTCGCCTCAGCAAAAGTGCCAAATTCAAACCTGCCCACCTCCACCCCATCATCCCGAGATCCCTTAAAATGTCAGCAAAAAAAAAATGTGAAAGAAAAGGTTACTTTGGGCAACCCGGCTTCCCATCTCAGTCCATTGCCACCTTTAAAAATGTCACTTCGGCATGAAAAATGTCCTCACGTTCTCAAGGATCGGCATTCTTCACGTCAGCGGGCGAAGCAGCTACAACTAGATCCTTCTTGATCTGACGAAGCGTTAAGTGACTGCCGAAGCTTCATTGGGTCCTTGTTGAAGTTCTGGCAGTCTCGAGGCAGTAACCTTTAAAGGCCAGCTGATCTATCGCGTAAGATGCTTTTTTAAATGATAAACACGGTGGCGATTAAAATGTATGTTTGTAGCAGCTCTCTGGAGCAGACGGCACAAAGTGCCTCCCAGTAAGAGCAACAGACAAAAGCACATTAACTATATATTAATAATGCAACATACATAACTCAAATAATTACTACAGTTAACACATGAAGAACCGAATAAACCACATCTGAGCATTTTGATTGGGAGGGAGAGGGGGGCGTGTCTGAAAAGTACACGCATAAATGAAACGTTTCAATTCAGTAAATGGCATTTTAAGATTTTTTTCGGGGTTTGATCGTGCTCTCTCACTAATCACTCTGTCACAGTGAGTTATGTGAAGAGTAAATATTAGAAACGATGGGACATCATCTAATAACTCAGCTGCCTCGCTGTGCGTCTCGTCCTTTGTGATCGGCGTTCATTTGGAATGAAGAGTGGACATCGGAGAGCGGATTCATCTGTTCAGCGAGCACCACGGAAGGTCCACATGCTGTACACCCAGTTGCCAGATTATTAGGCACACCTAACCTAATATAATACAGCAGCCCCCAAATGACTCCTTCACAAAGGTTATTAGGATCATATTTTGTTAGAGCTGTTGTACTTTTTGATGATGTTAAATTGGGTCATACTGAGGGGCTGTTCTAAACGGAGTGGACAAAGTATTCAATCGCCCATATAAACAGTGTAATGAAGCAACAAAAACAAGCTACAGCATGGGGCACATAATGAAGTCCGTTTTGCAATAGTCATGAAAATGAAATAAATGCAGGTTTGTCCACATCTTGTCCACCAACGGCTGAATACAACACGCATCTTATATCTTTGTTGGGAATAGTCATAAAACCAAAATTCCCCCCGTCTGTGCAGACAGGTAAACACAAGGCCACTGACGCAGCCACTTTATTAAACGGGGTTACAGACTAACCTTGGCAGCAATGAATGCAATCAATGTGGTAAATTGAATTGAGCACAGTGTCTCAGTCTCCAGTCGGCCCCGGTCGCCGTGAGCAGGACCTCCTTGTATTCCAATCAGGGGCACTTATCGAAATCCCAAACCCTTTTTCGGTGCGAGATAACCGGTCAAATCAATCTGGCAGAAGGGCGTAATCCAGCAGGGGGAATATGAAGTGAAGGCCAAAACCAGAGCAGACTTCTGAGAGGAGAAAGTATTGCTAAAGCGATCTGATTTAGAGCTGGAACTCTGACCCCGAAAGCAGCTGAAAAGCACAAAAGAGCCGAAAGAAGTAATATCATTACTGTGGAATATTTATCCGGCTGTCTTGTTTTAGGGCTGCACTGGGGCAGCATTCTGGTGATGCCGTGGCTCCAAGCAGGATTGAATCGACAATCGCTACACTGCTGTCCATCACTTTACACTGGAGGGAGCTGCAATCCCATTCAAAATGTAAACGAGCGCTCGTAAGGCCAGTACGCAGCACAGGGATGGATTTGTTTACAGCTGTAATTCCACATCCCGCAGACTTTCAACTTAAAAGATTAAGTTTTTCTGGGCCTTTCCTGTCTGGGGCTTTGATGGCGACGGCTCACAATTCAGAGGAAAAAGGAAATCAAACTAAGGCAACACCGCAAGATGAAAAAATTGATTTTGTGTGCGCGGATGTGAAGAAGGAATTTCAGATGATCAAACGAGAGCATAAAACACCAAGAAGGAACTTTTTTTTTGGTGTTAGTGTGACGGACAGTGTGGTGGATGAACAGCAATGTCTAGACAGCAAAGAAACGTGTACTACAAACGGCAGACGTAGCCAGCGGCTATAATTACGACGCCACATTTTGTAATTCAACTGAAGGATCTAAAACTCTAGAGCTCAATGCTTTTTATCAGCTTACCGTTCTGTGTGTGGCCGATCAATTTCCCCAGGGTCCCTTTGGGGGCTCATTTCTCTCCCAGTGGAACAGGGATCAATGGCGGGATTTGTTAACCCAGATGAAATGAATGGCGAGGGTAATCAGAGAGGCAGTTAGCCTATACTTTGCGGCCTCGAGATCGAGAATGCTTCGATTACATTCAAAGCCCCGGACACATTCACTTAACTTCTATGGAAGGACCCATGAGACACAGTGGTGCAATGTAAAAGCGTCATTGCAGACGTGGTGGGGGTTTAAAAAAGTATTGATCCAGAGTCCCTGTCCGGGTGTATGTACTGTATATAAAGCCCAACTCCTGACAGAAGCACAGTGTAATTCCTGTATTAGCTTCACATTCCTGGCTCCCAGTGCAGTGTGGGATTGATTTTCTTAATCATTTTATTCATCACTTTGGGAGGGGAGCTTTCCACCTTTGTGTCGTGTTTTAATGCACACTCTTGAAATATTAAGAAAATTCTGAAAGCTTGAAATTTCAGTAGCTGGCCAAGGAATTGTTTGACATTTTGGGAAATGAGATAATTGGCTATTTTTTTTGCCGAGATTAAAAGATCAACACCACTCTGTCCGTTCAATATGAGGCTAAAGCTAGTAGATGCTAGCTAGTTAGCGAGACTATCCTGACTGTCCAAAGCTAAAATAAATATGCCATACTAGCACCTTTACAGCTCACTAATAAACATATTGCATCTCATTTGTTTACTTCATACTAAAGTCAAAGTGCAGAAAAATAACGTGTGGTTTTAAAGGACCACGCTTCCAGTCTTGGCACTAGCCGTCTTCTAGCTATAGCCTCACAGTAAACAACCAAATACAAGATTTATGTCTTCTCATCATACTCTCTGCAAGAAAGTGAAGAACTGTATTTGTCAAAGTATTCCTTAAAGCCATTTGTAATATCCCGAGTGCTTTGATATGTCGTAATTTTGTGACTTTTAAAATCTGACTTTTGCTTATTTAATCATTGCTCTAAACTTCTTTGCCCTTTTGTTCTTTCCTTTGCTCATTGAAAAACTGACATTTAGTGTGCATTGTGTTAATTAACACAGTGATTTGTTTCTTTTATACAGTGGTTCTCAATCCTGCCCTCAGGACCCACAGCGCTGCTGGTGATCGGTCTTAGCAGGTGGTTAATTCCGGTTGATCACGTTCACCTTGCATTGCAGTTGTCAATTGGTCCCTCATTAGGTGGCTGGTATATAAAAAGAACAGCAGGACATGTGAAAACACACGATGGAGAACTTTGCCTTTGAAAAGAATGTTGGAAAGAGAAAAGAAAAAAACTTGAAAAGTGATTTCTGAGAAAGCAAGCGGGTCAGTCAATGAGTTTGAGCACTTTCGAAGCAGTTTGAAGAAAGAATTTCTCATTCATTTTGAGCTGTGCATTCATCTAACCTTCAAAGGGTGGGGAAGTCACAACTGGCAGGGTTCACACAAACCGGAGATTCATTAGCATAGCCTTTTGTGACGTTTCAGGCTTTGCACTTGCAGTTAAGTATTAAATTGGTTGGCAATAATAACCCCATGTGCACTCCCTGCCTCATTTATCTGTGACAAATAAGCTCCAGAGATTCAGTTGGCATATTTAATTTGTTGTCTCGATTCATTGAGGTGAATATTTGCCTTAGAATTAATTTCATACTGTTTTTCCCACCCACAATCCACTTGCTATGTAAAAAAAAAAAAAAAAAAATTGAACAAGATAGATACTGCGCAGGATATTTTACAGTTAAAAAAATCAACCTTATAATTGTGACACTGTTTCTTAATTACTCCAAACTGTGCTGAGGGTCTGTAGATTTCTATTATAACCAAAATATTAAAGCTGTATTAATTATTATTTTTGGCCACTTTGGACCAATATATCAAGCTCACCATTCTCATATTACAACCTTGTAAAGTTTCTATGGCAAACGTGTTTGCATACAATGTGCTATTTACACATCATGCAGATGTTGAGCCCCATATCACAGCATATGACACCCTCCATCCTTAGCCCCTGGATTTAGATAAGGAAAAACTCCCCCAAAAAACTCTTTAACGGGGGCAAAAAAAATCATCGAATCATCAAAAGCACCTTAAAGGGATTTGATATGGATATATATGCATTAGCTGTTGAGCAATTTAGCTATGTTGCGTAGGTGAAAAAGTGTGTTGTGTAGGAGATTTTGGTGCTATTTTGAATGTGCTGATCAAAACAGAAGGTTGGATCAGATTTTGAGAAATCACCCAGTTGTTGAGAGTTACTGTTACTTGGTGTCTATGTCGAGTAGGGTCAATGACCGGCATGTCAGATTCAGCAGAATTTAGGAACATTAAACACTGTGACATCCAGTTTTTTTTCACAACAGACGAGCAGGCCTCTAACTAATTATTTGGGAATGATCGTCCGCATTCACAGCCACATACAGCTGAGCATCATCAGCGTAGCACCGGACATTAATTCCACGACTGCGTATAATTTGACCAAGAGGTAAGATAAAGGGGGAAAACACAAAATAATGAGCCAAAGGATGCTAAAAA